TATTTATATATTAATAATAATAGAGATATATGTATTTATATATTAATGCTAATTTAATAAATATGCGTTAATTCATTATATGTATTTATATTAATATTATAATACCATTAATAAACATATTCTTATACATATATATTATATATTAATATTAATAGGGCAATTATTAACATTTATTAAGTTCGTTTATGATGAATTAAAAATAATTTGAATTGATATTAATTAATGCAAGAAAATAATATAATTACATATATACATTAATTTATATATAAATGCATATACTAATATTTGAATTGAAAATATATTTGCGAATTAAAAATAATTTGAATCATTGATATTAATTGTTGTAAGAAATTAATCCAAATATAATTACATATATACATTAATATAAAAGTGTATATATTAATATTAGAATTGAAAAAATATATTTTCATATTCAATTAAAATTTTTTGTTTCAAATTATTCAATTTGAAACAAAAGAAGGAAAGTAATTAAGAAAGTTTTAATAATTTAAATTTTAGTCATCATTTTAATCAAGCAGTGAAATTATTAAGTAATAATGATGTTCGCGTAAATTACACCGGAAATGTTCGATATTATTTGCCTTATTCAACAGAATCATTATGCAAATTGGATGTTAAATTTTTTCCTTTCGATATGTTAGTTTTATTTCATTAATTTTAATTTAATTTATTGGTTTAAATTTAATTACATTTACATTTATAGTATATGTATCAAAATTCATTTTCACCCTTTTAATATATTTTTAAAACAATAAATAAATGAATAAGTAAATAAGATAGTGCTGGAAGGAAAACTTCATTAATTTATCGTATTTATTTCTTCGAAAAAAATTGAACTGAAATTGCTAATTAGTAATTTTATATTATGCTAAATTAAATTTAAATATCAAAGAATATGGTAGTTTATTAATAATTGAACAGAAATTGCTAATTAGTAATTTTATATTATATTTAATTAAATTTAGATATCGAATAATATTTGTTGTTTATTAATAATTGAACAAAAATTGCTAATTAGTAATTTTATATTATATTTAATTAAATTTAGATATCGAATAATATTTGTTGTTTATTAATAATTGAACAAAAATTGCTAATTAGTAATTTTATATTATACTAAATTAAATTTAAATATCGAATAATATTTGTTGTTTATTAATAGTCAAAATAATTCAAATAACCTAAATTTCATAAAATTATTGAAATTTTTTGTAGATTTCAAAATTAACAATTTTTGTTAATTAATTAATTCTAATTTTCTTAGTCTTAAATATTAAGTTTTTTGAAGTTGTATATATTTTTGAAATCATTTCCTTCATCCAATTTTACTTTCAGTCAACAATGTACGCTATTATTTGGTTCTTGGGCCCATTCGAATGATTCCATTAAATATGCCTTATATTCCAGTAATCTTAGTTTGATTGATTTCTACGATAATCAAGAATGGCAACTTGATTCGGTTTATCTTTTTCCTGTTTTAAAATTTATTTTAATAAGTAAACAATAGAATTAGTTTTTATAAAAATAGCTAATTAATTACTATAATTTATTATAAAACAATTTCATCAATTGTAATAAGCTAAAAATAAACATTTTATTATAGTTATCGTTGAAATTTTTGTATAATTTAATTTTAGAGTAAAAAAAAAAACGACGAAATTAATTTAATTTTATTAAAATTTTAGAAAATTAATTTTAGAATATTTTTTTTTTAACGATATAAATTCTTTTATTCATTTCAAATAATTTATAAATTCATTAATTATGCTAATAATTATTGATCAAACTTTTTTATAATAATCTATTCGAATAAATTATGCATTTATTTGTTATCATTATTAAATTTAGTTATCTAATTATTAATTATTACTATTATATATTTCATCTATTATTTTTAAACAAAACAACAATTAAAAATTATGCTTTGCTAATTTAACTTTACTAATTTTTGAAATTTCTATTCTCCTGTTATAATTCCTAAAAATTTTCCATCTATTCTAATTTGTAACTAAAAAATTGGTAATTATTAAATTTCTTTAGTTTTACTATATTTATATAAGTTTATCACATATTGCATTGTATTTTGATAAATTTAATATATTTTAAAATAGTAAACCTATGATTTCGAATTAAATATAATTTATTGAAATTTGAAAAATGATTTTTCAATTTTTAAAGAGTCATAGTAATATCGCATCGGATAGTTTCCTCTATGATTATTTGGATCCACCATTATTTTGGGAAATGATTATTATGGATCTCGTATTAATTCGACAAAGCTTTTACTATGGTATATAATTATTTCATTAATATAAAATTCCTTTAAATCTAAAATTTAAATGAAATTTATTTAAAAAATTTAAAATTCCTAAAAATTTTAATCCATTTCAACTTGTAATTAAAAAAAATTGGTAATTAATATTATTTAAATCTTAAATTTAAATTTTGTTTAAATTTAAATTTAGGAAAAAAAGTTTCTCAAAAAAATTTTTTCGCAAAATATTTTTAAATTAATTAAATTTTATTTCATTTCAGTTTTTAATTTAGTTATACCAAGTACAATTATAACATTAGTAGCTGTTATTGGATTTCATACACCAAGTACAAGTGGTAAATTAAGGTAAATTATAATCATCGTAATTAAACATAATCAAATTATTCAATTTTTCTATATCATTCAATTTGTTTTGTTTTATTAAACGAATGAAAATAGAAGAATTAAAAAGGAAAAATTAGAAATTAATTTTAAAATTAATTTTTTAGGGATGCAAAATTTCGTCTTGGTATAATGACATTAATGAGTATGAGTGTTATATTACTTGCAATTGTTGAAGATATGCCAAAATTTAGTATGTCAAGTTCACGTAAAGGACGTGGTTCATTTTCCGGTATTCCATTAATTGGTTAGCAATTCCTTTCTTTTTTATTATTATTACTATTACACTGAAATGATAATCCGGTTTTTGCAATGTTTGTTAACTTCTATTATGAAATTTATGCAAAATTGATAAAATTTATTTAATAACATATTTCGTTTTTTCTTTTTTTATTATCAAATTATATTGAAATAAAAATCCGGTTTTTAATTATGATTGTTAGACGGAAAAGTTTTGTAGAAAACAGATAGCATTTATTTAATGTTGAGAAATTTATTTTCAAATATAATCAGGTTTTTAAGTTACCTGGAAAAAAACAGGAAAGAAAATTTGTATTTATGTATGTGATAGATAAATGTTTAATAAATGTTTGAGTAAAAAAAAAAACTGAAATATTGAATGATTTTTAATAGAAATATTTTTATGAGAAGGATTTACTATATATATATATATATTATGTGAATTCATTTTTATAAGGAGAAATTACGAATTTCGCGTAATAATTTCACGTTAGGTTTTATGTGAATTAATCTTTATATAAGGAAAAATAACGGATTTCACGTAATAATTTCACGTTAAGTTTTATGTGAATTCATCTTTGCAAGAAAAAATTACGGATTTCACGTAATAATTTCACGTTAAATTTTATGTGAATTCATTTTCATGAGGAAAAATAACGGATTTCACGTAATAATTTCACGTTAAGTTTTATGTGAATTCATTTTTATAAGAAAAATTTACGGATTCCACGTCATATTTTCACGTCAAATTATATGTGAATTCATTTTTATAAGGAGAAATTACGAATTTCACGTAATAATTTCACGTTAAGTTTTATGTGAATTCATCTTTACAAGAAAAAATTACGGATTTCACGTAATAACTTCACATTAAGTTCTATTTTCACAAGAAATGATGAAAAAAAGTTATTAAAAAATTCAAATTCGCCTACATATGTATATTGTAATAATTTTACGTTAAGTAATTAAAGAAAGAAAGAAAGAAAAAAATTTTTAGGAAATTATTGTTTTCTTTCATCTGTCAATAAATTGATAAATTTTTTTGATGTCTGTTAATATTATATATAAACATTTTAATTTATCAATATCAATTATTAGCTATCGAAATTAATTTTTAATCTGAAATTATCTTTCAATTGGAATGGATTTAAAAGAAGGGAAAAATTATATATAAACATTTTAATTTATCAATATCAATTATTAGCTATCGAAATTAATTTTTGATCTGAAATTATCTTTCAATTGGAATGGATTTAAAAGAAAGGAAAAACAAAAACATTGCATGAAATTGTTTTAATTATATCTTTTCTATTAATAATCAATTCATCGTTTTTCTCTCTTAAATCTTTCAAATGATTATATATGAAATTTTAAATTAAATTTTATAGGTTTATATTATTTTATTTTATTGGCAATAATTGGTTCATCAACAGTTACAACATCAATGTTTGTCTTTTTGGAAAAAGATTTAAGAAGTAATAATCATATTCCATGGTATTTACATTGGCTTTCATTCGATATTAATATTGGACTTTTACGGTAAGAATTTTTTTCTTTAAATATTACATAAATATTTTTTAATTAGTAATTAATTTAATTAAATTGAAAAATCGATCTTACGTTATAAAAATTTCATTTATTTAAATATGATAATATTGATTTACTGATATATATATTATTTTATCAGTAAATCAATATTAGCATATTTTAAATAAATGAAACTGATATATATTGAAATGCTATTTAAATCAATTTAAATAGCATTTTATAGATGAATGAATTTAATTTCAATACAACGATAAATACTATATCTATTCAAATGTTTAATTAATATTATTATATGTTTATATTTATTTTAGTTCCATTCCTTCCAATAATATCAATAAACAACCCGCCATACGTGTAAGTTCATTCTTTTACAATTATTCTCAAATATTTGCAAATAATTTTTATTAATTGATGAATGCAAAATTATACTTTGTATTAATTTACAGATTGCTTCATTAATAACTTAATAATTAAATATTTTTAATTCGAAATATTAAGTTTAAAAAATGTTTAAATGGATAACATATGCAATGATATCATATATCAGATAAAAAACTCAACGATAATTACTTTTAATTGGAAAATATTAATTCTAATATTTGCTTATCCCTGAATTATTGCATATAATTAATAAATATAAAATGCCAAATTAGGATTATAGAATGATTCAGCAAGGCTATCCTCAACTATAACCAGGGAACGATTTGCTATTACACCCAATTTCATGGCAAATTATGATGATATTGAACAGACATGCAATCAATCGTGGCAATATTTGATTGATACGATACGAAATATCGAAACATCCGTCAATGAAATACGGTTAATATTAATTTGAAATCAATTTAATTATTTGAAAACAATGAAAATTATCAAAGGAGAAAAAAGAAGATTGCAAATATTAGAAACAGTTTCAATTATAGCTTAAATATGTAGTCGAATATTTGATTAAATTTAAACTGTGGATTAATACTTCTTTTTTTGAACGTTGTTTCCGATTCGATGAAAAAGGAAAAAGCTTCCTGCTTCCTAAGATTATGAAATACATCGTAGTATCATATAAAGAAATGTTTGTTTTTGAGTTTCTATTCAAATTAAATTGTCAAAAAAGTATGATATCAACAACATGATACTTTTATAGAATTTTGGATAATTTAAACTAGTCAATAATATTCCCTAGCTATATATATCTCAAGCATTTTCTGAAATTCTAGGGGAATACCAAAGAATCGAGTATTTTTCAAAAATCTGCTAAATGTTTGATTAAATTAACCCAAATACCGAATAATGAATGTTTGTCAAATTCCAGTGGAGAAATGATGAATCTTGTGCCACAAGACAATTTGCAAAGCAGATGGCAACGAGTGATTCGACGTCTTGAAATTATTTCACTATCATTTTATGTTTTATTGATTGCTGTAACCGTATTTCTTTTCTTTTATCATGACTGGTACTGCGCCATTGGACATAGTCCATGCGGTCAAGCTAACCTCAAATGCCCATGGATGAAAACTAATCCAACACAACACACATGTTTTTAACTTTTTTGGACTTTTTGGACTAATTTGGTACAAATTTAAATTTTGACGACTACTAAATTTACTTCAAGATTTCTCGTTCACTCAAAAATTTCAGAATAGCAATTTCAGACTCCGATTCAATTCTTCGGCGGCAACATGCTTGATGCTTGGCATTATTTCAGGTTAAAACCCATTAAAAAATTAACAATGTTTAGTATGCAAATAGACTTGATCTCCCACTATCTTGATGATTATGTCAAATATGCTCCAAATGATAAAATTTGTTCATCTCACCAATCCGTTCATTCCATGCAATGTAAAATATTCTTACGATAGATGGATTATGCATAAATATCTATAATTGATATTTATCCTTCCATGTTCAATTATAATATGTAACTTATTTATAAGTTGAACAGAACCAGTTGAACCATAATTAAAATGTGAATTATAACTGATTTAAAAGGTCTGTTTATTCAAGACTTACAAAGCAGATCATATGGAAATCGAAATTAGCACAATGCAATGATATCGAAATCAATGCCAGACTCGTTACTTCAATTCTTTTACTTGAAGACCTGGTGGCAATGACTGCTTCAATTTTTCAGCTTTTTCCTTGTCCTGAAAATAAGAATTTCGCTTCTGCTCAAAAAATACCCTTTTGTATGAATTAAGAAATTAACTTGCTGATATAAGTCACACTATTAAGCAAAACATTTTGAACAATTCCTTGATATATCATATTATCTTGAAATTCTTAACAAGACAAAATATTGTGTCAGAAATCTCGCCGAGTGAAGAACATTCTGAAGGAACTCTCCCACTTATACAAAGAATGACAGCATTAACTCCACAATTGTTGTATGTTTTTATGAATTTAAAATGATATATCCAGGAGAACCTAATCGCACTATTTGCTCCCTATTCAATATGAATAATCAATGTTAATATAGTCAAGTTGTTCATTATCGGAAATTTACTGGAAGATATAAAACTTAACTGAAGTGTAGCTATCAGAAGTGGAATATTTAGGGTCCAGATTATCATTCAACCAACGACAATCCGACAATCCGGTAATCAAAATTTAAGGACCAGAATAACTGACTTGAATTGGAGTTGTGAAGCGAAAAAATTACAGAACCTACAAAAATTGCTGAAACTAAAATACTTCTTACCTGGATAACGAGAGTGTAGAGATATTTGCTGCATCGTACTTTAAACTTCACATTGTCCGAATTCTTCTTAATTTTCACGGATTTTGCATCCTTCCTTCGAGCAGTCATCAAAAACTCCTTGATTTCTGTTATTTGCCGAGGCATTTCTGAAAGTCCTAAAATGAAATGAAAAAAACCACATGCAAATAAGTATTACTGCCAAGTGTGACGACGAAAAGCAATTCGTGAATCACGGACCAATCTTCGCATTTGCAGTGGATAATAATTATGAATCTGCTGATGTTTGTCAGGCTTAATTATAATAATAATAATAATGCAAACCACACTTAATCTCAACTTCCGCTCAATCTCTCACTCTTACTCCAACTGTTAATAAATTGCACTGCCTTCAAGACAAGAATACACTATTCCTTTCTCTAATCCGATACATAATCTCCATCTTCTGGATCATATAGATCCTTTCGATATCCGATTGATTACGCCTACTTAAGGTGCAACTTTTACTTGATTTAAAATATTTAGTTAAAACATACGGATACATTATTAGTCCTTTCTCTAATTCGAAGTACATTCTCAATCTTCCGGATCATATCAAGCTACCCATCTTTCCGAGATACGATTACTATCACTACCACCCAATAAATCTCTCACCTCATACGGGAACCTTCCTCCTGGCCCAAAATTGGAATAATTGTTGGCATCGTACGAATGATCGTATATTCGAAGTTTAAGCGTGAATCATCGCGAGAATGAATGTTCGGGCGTGCGTAGTGGTTTCGAATTGGCACACTAGTTTTGTGTTTTATAATTGTGAAGTTTGGGATTATTTTTCGTAGAATTTCCCGAGGTATTCAGGAGATTTGTTGTGAGCATCATAGATTTTAATTATATGGAAAAAGTTTGGTAAAAGCTATGGAATTCTGAAGAACCACCAACTAGCTTAAGGGTGAAATTCAGTTTTTATAAAATTTCTTTCATCGAATCCATTTACGGTTACTGAGGTTTGTAAGCTGTTATGAACTTTTGATAGTATATCCATCTCGGTTTACTTTTTCAATCACCAAAATTTGAAGTGATTTGATCATTTTCGGTTACTAAGCTTTGTATGATATATTGTTTAATATTATTTTAGGGTTTTTTTTTTGGTTGGAAATTTTGAGTGAATAAATGTAAGGGAATAGAAAGTGGCAGGAGAAATTACCTTATATAGATGGATAGACCACTGTTTACTCAATATGTATATCACGTTGAGCAGTGGATATAAATAAATTTGCGCAGCGATTTTATTATTTTGTAGTGCTGATCTGATTATTTTTCGTTGCAATATTTTGTTGTATTAATCTGATTATTTTTGGTTTATTTGTTCAATCACCAAACTTTGGAGGAAAGCAGAGTAGGTTCACGTGTTTGTGTTACAGTGCCGTAAAGCTGATCTGCAGTTTTGCAAACTTGTATCCATTTTAGCTTGCAGTATTCTCGTTAAAAGGATTCGGTTGGATTTCATTTGTGACAGATAAGTTATCTGTATGGCGCAATCTGATCATGTATTTGAACGAATTCTGGAGTGGAAGACTAACTTCGAGGAGCAGGGTATGTTGATCAAACAATAGGGTTCTAGTTGTCCAAGTGATGAATGATTGGATAGACAACTGGACCAATCAGTCGTCGTTGTTAATGAATGATCGTTTTTAATAATAGCTATGTTCATCCTTCTACTAGCAGTGATTAGCAAGCAGTTCGTATGGGAATCGTCCATTCTGTAAGCTTGGTTACTCAACACCAAAACTTATGAATTGAAAATTAGCCTTATGACTTCACATAAGCATGAAAAATTGGTGATTCACATAGATTAGGTTTCGATTGGTTAGTTTTATAAATTCAGAAATGTTTATTTTGTCCCTGTTATTCTTATAGGTGAAGCAAAATTAACGGAAATTCGGCGACTGATTGATGTAAACGATGTTCTTGAGGCATATTTCCAGGAAATCGATCAGCTGCCAGAAGTGTGTTTAATGTCAAATTTGGCAACATCAGTGCTTTTCTGTCTGATTCATGCTAATAAGTTAATTTCTCAAGGAAGATGAATATACTTTGCAAATGTAAAAAATATCAATCACGCTTTTTTTCCATTACGAAAAAAAGCTTTAACCATGCTGAGCATTATATAGCTTTAGCAGAATAATCTGGAGCTTTTGGGAAGAAATTTCTACTTTTCTTTGATAGCATGCAGTCATCGTCATTCCCACAACGTGACAAAATTTCTGGACCAGACGTAGTGGGTTTTGAATAGTGGAAAAGTGATGTAGTTGTTGGCTCAAACTATTATTATTAGCTTTCAGAAACTCCGCAAAAGCAGTTTTTATGAATTCATTTCAACATGTGAAGCTAATGGTAATTTTTTGTAAATTGGATTCCTTTTCCATCCTTGTGATCAAATTTCTTATTTTTCTCAAAAAGATTGTCAGATTTTAATATTTCATTACTTAAATGAAACTGATTTTTGTTGGAAATTTTCCTCAATATTTTAGGTGCAACTGTCGACGAGCCTGTTGCTGAACCTAGTTTTCGTCGGGAAACTGAAAACAAATCCAAAATGGAGCAGAAATCAACCGCTTGGGCAAGTCGGCTTCGAGGTCCACGAAAATTGGTTCCAGAGTCATCTCACACACTGTCGAACATGAGGACTCCGGCGTGGGTTTAGTTTTTGAAAATCTTTTTTAGTAAGCAAAATGTTTAAATATGCTTATTTGTTGCTTATAGAAAGTGTTTCGTAGAAGGTAGTGTTCTTTCTTTTTCTTGGGAAGTATTCTTTTTTCTTTTGCCATTTAGTTATTATTTAGGTCCAGAAATCTCAAACCCATTGTCTTGAAAACGCCTGTTGGAAATGTCCGTGTGCCGCGGGCTATAACGCCAAAAGTCCAAGATGGGTAAGTGAAATATCTCTTTAAATTTAATATAAGATGTCATTTTAGACGTCAGAATGAAGCACTATACCATGTATATTGTCTATGAAACCAAGTTTTTTTTTCTTGCTGTTGAAAAAGAACTATGGACTCAATTCAATTCGATTCAAATTTCTATTTTTAGTGATGATATTAAGTTCCGTACTCTGCGTCGAGAGGAAGTCGCATTCTCAGTTGCTGGCACACCAGTAGTTGCAGGAGACGAAACAGAGGGCGATGAAAATGTTTTCCTTGTCAATGAGGTTTTTGTCATAATTTTGAATTTGGGGTTTTTGAAAGTTGAGTCTTTTATGAAATTATTTTAGTAGGCGTTTAGTTGGTGATTTCCTATTTGCATTGTTTTGGTTTTTCAGCTGCTTCATGCAAGAGATGAGGAATTAACTCCAAAAACTCGGAATGTAGTGCACGGAATGAAACAACTTATCGGTCGAATTCGTACCAGTGAGATTCCTGAGCATTTTTAGTTCTTTATATTTTGATTTACTAGCTTGAAGTTCTATAGAACTTTTTAATAAAAGAGATGCTTTATTAGTTAGCGTTTTGTATTGCTACATGTTTATCATGATTTCATATTGCTTATAATGCGCCAGTGTAGATATAACGTATTTGCATCTATGTTGGTATTCAAGATTTAATTTGAATGATCTACGTACGATCTGCAATAGCAAAATGGTACAAATTTGCCTGCCAAATCTATATAATCCAACTGTAATTGATCCTAAATACTTTACTGCTTTTGTTATTTACTCGTTTTGTACTTATTGGCTTCAAATTCCTTCTGATTTTCCTTTCATTAGCTAAATTTGTATTGTAAAAGGAACAGAGTTCTTGTGATCATAAGCATGAGTTAGGATTGCCTTTGAACATTTCCTCTCTCTCTTGACGTATATTTTATGGATTTATTTTTGAAATTGATGTGTCTCTCTCTCTTATTTGAATTGAAGCATTTAATTTATCTGTCAGCTGTCGCTGTTCTATTGACATAAAAGGTTCCTCTGATTAGATTGATTCACTTCACTCTCAGCACCCCGAGCATAAAAAGTAACATGTGTACATATTCATTTATTCAGCAGTTATCAGCATTTAGATGTTCTTATTTTTTTCTTACTTCTGAGAGTTGAAATTAATTTTGTGGTTTAGAAAGAGCGATGAAAGGATACAAAATACTGTACTTTGAGGTGGAAATCATGTGATTGTTTTTAGGAATATCATAGCTCGGCATGGAATCTTTTTTATTCCAGTGATGCTATTGACTTGTTCTTGGTTTCTTAAATTGTGACTGCATTTATATAATTCCATTAACGATCTCGTCATTTGTATGTCATCGTTATTTTATATGTTTATTGTAAGTGCGTATAAAATATCTTTACAATTGGATTATGCTTGTGGTAGATGTTTTATACTATTGTGACTTATATATCCATATTTTTTAATTTGAATCCTTATCATATTATATGCTAATGGAGCTATTGAAATTAGGTTGTTGGTAATATTATTTTTTTTCGGTGACTTTCTATCATCATTTTTCAGTTTATTTCACAGGTTCACAATGACTGCGATTGGTGTTCCTATTAAAATTTTGCATGAAGCTGAAGGTCATGTCATTACACTTGAAACGACAATTGGCGAAGTATACCGTGGTAAATTGAACGAGGTAATTTTCACTATATTTTCTAGAGAGGCGTATAGACTCTCGTACCTTAATTAGCTGGATTAGCTAAAATATTGTTCCAAGTTCGGGAAATTCATTACAATAAATGATCAATTAGTCGGACAAATATATTTCGTTTTTTTATCTTCATATGGGATTTAGCTGTTAAATTATTTGACTCAAGAAAAGTTTCCCAGGATTTTTTTTTCACCATTTCAGGCAGAGGATAACATGAACTGTCAAATAAGCGAAGTCACGGTGACTTATCGAGATGGAAGGACCCATCATTTGGACAACGTTTTTATTCGTGGATCAAAAATTCGGTTTATGATTTTACCGGACATGTTGAAAAACGCACCGATGTTTAAAAATATTGGACGAGCCCAGAAAGGAGCTGTTGGTATGGGAATGGGAGATAACCGTGATGGACGTGGTCTTCGAGGTGAATCACTTAATGATAGCTATTTTACTTTATGATATGAACCTTGATTAACCAGATTTTTTAGATAATGTTTTAAATGATTTTAGGAAGCAGTTTAAATCGACTTTACTGAGTTAGTTTTAGTAAGAGGTCTAAAAAGTATTTGTATTATTTATTTATTTGCAATTCTACGGTTACTTTTTTGTTTGCGCTTTCTTTCATTTGTTGATTTATTTTTTATTCGTAGATCATTGTATCATTTATTCATTTTCAGGACGTGGCACTGCATTTCGAGGACGTGGTGGCCCACGTGGTAATCAACGCGGTCCAGGTGGGATGCCGCGGCCTCAGTTCCGAGGATGATTCATTTGTCTCATTTTATGCAATTTATGTTTTTTATGTTGGTTCTTTTTTCTCTTGTTCATTTATTTTTTCCAAAGCTGATTATGTTTGACAACTAAATGATGAGAAATCGGCTTTGACACCTAAAGTTGTTTCGTATTTGGATATAATTGACTTTTTGAAAGGTTTCACATGATGAGAGGAGCACCTTGAGGGTTTTTTATATGATTCTTTGAGAATTAATTGACTTTCTATTAGTTATGCCTTTTTAAAATTACAACTAAAGCGTTACTCAGGAAAGATTTTGGTTCCGATGTATTGTCAAATGCACTTCAATTAACGTGTTGTACTTATTAGATAAATCTGCTTCTTGGAAAAACCGTTTTTTTTTTTCATCTGAAAGTATTCACCTATTTAAAGCATATACATTTTTCAACAAGTCAATGTTCTTGAACTTTTAATTGTAAAAGACGTAACTAAAATATTAGGGTTCCCAAACTGGTGGCTAATACTGCATTTTTAATTTATTTACAACGGTTAATGTTTGTTAAACCGATTCTGAATTGGTGCTAGGCAGATATAGATAGGAAAAAGAGTTTATTAGCAAAAGAAAAACTAAGCTATAGACCTTTCGAAACTGCAAATCCGTTTTCTGTTTTCTCTGCGTTCAATAATTCAGATTCTAAGTTATTGGACAATTTACAATGAAGAAGAGTGCAGAGACGTCGGAAAAAAAATACGACAGCAACCGATGACCGATGCTTTTTCCCCAAATGATAATTGGCATGTGTGCATTGTTGTTTGGTATTCCAAAACTTCCGTGTATATGGATACTTGTTTAATAGCCCTGCAAGGCTTTCTGTATTTCGAAAAAATGAAGCGTCTTTTCCAAATATCCGTTGTTTCTTTTACATACAATGAGGGCTTTGGGCTGTATCCTAAGAAAGCTTCAGATTTATCGTTGGATGAATGCAGCAGTTGTGTTTAGGTTCACCCAAGAAGAAAAGTATTAGATGATATTGAAATGGTATCGATGGCTGAACGATTTGACGATTTCCATCCATCATCACCATTTTTGGTATCCTCCACAATCGATAATCAAAAGCAACAACAATTAACTTCTAGCTTTTCGGAGTCACTGGAGCATTTACATCAGAAATTTCAGATATCATCTGAACCCATATCACAATGGTTTCAGCATCTCGTAAGTATATTCACATTATTTTGCCTTCATCGCACATTTCATGTTTCGGTTTTTTGGTAGATTTAAATAATTGGTAGATTTACCGCAAAAATTCTGAATAGAGTCCTGTTATAATCATATTAACTGTAGTTGTTAATAATAATTTCAACATTCAATACATACATACTGCACTTGTATGATTTCGGAAAAGACCGTTACAGAATTCGGAATATTATCTTATGCTTACTAGTAGTTCAAGATTTAATTTCAGATGTTCCTACGGATTTTGAAAGCTCTCATTTGCTTTGGACTATATTGCATTCCATCATACTTCATTGCTGCATGCATTTTGCAGATTTCATTGTTACATCCTATTCAAGCAACTTTAAGTAATATGAAATTTCAAAATTTTATTTTTATTTATTAAAAAATACTTCGGCATCCGAATCATCGTATTTTTTATTACTATCTCTATCTGTTCCGGATGGATGATTTTCATGCCAGAAAAAGAATTCTCAAGGAATTCTGGTTTTTTTGCGAAAAAATCTGTTGTGAATTTTACCAATAATTCCTAGCGTGAAAGTCATATATCCAGAATTTTTCCGTAAAGCAAGGTGTTAACTTTTCGAAGATATTTTAAAAATCCATTTTCAACCTCTCCATTGGTTAGGAAATCTTTTTTAAACTCCAATAGTTTCATAAATTATGTTTGAAAAAAAAAATGAATTGAAATGTTTGCAGATTGTAAGTTGTTATTTTCGTTTCGTAGTATCTTATATTCATTACTCTTTGCAATTTGCGGTGCATTTCATGCTGCCTTGCTTGCATTTTTCGTATTACGTTTCGACAGCGAAGACAGGTACTCAGCTACTTGAATTTTTAAAATATTTCGGTAAAAAGTTATAGGGAAATTACGATATCGAATCTTGTTATAACTTTTTAATAAGAATAATTTTTTAATAGCGAGAAACAAAATAGAATTGTTGAAACTTCATTTTAATGTACTGAATGATTCCTGAAAAAACCGATTTCTTTTTCTTTTAAAAAATCTATTGCAATTTCGCGATGTATATTCAAATAATTGAGCTTTTGAAGACTCTCTTGCAAATCTCTACGGGCATGGTTGATTTATTTCGGATCGTTGAATACTGCTCTTTCACAGATTGTTTGCTTATCAATAGGTTCGAACTCTCCTGAATTTACGAGGTATTTTTGAGTTGCTTTTTTAATGATCAATACGAATTTTGAATTTTACTCGAAACATTAAGCTACAGCGTAGAATAACTTCATAAACTGAATAACTTTATTTGAAAACCCGCATTTCATTTTATCAGTCAGTAAAGTCTGATATTTGTTTAAGAATGTTGGAACGATGGAAAAGTGAAATACTTAGATTAAACAGAAACATTTCAGGTTTTTTATTTATTTGCTAGTTGTTGCACAGGCCGTAATCACTTTTCACGAAATATTTCGCAGAAATCATCGATTAGTATTTCCAGTTATTGAAGTGAGATTTTGCAAGATTTTCCGTCAAATTCTGTTATGTTTTCAGTTATAATTTCATTTTTTTAAAAGGATTTTGTTGTGGCTCTTTAATATACACTTTTTACGAGAAGTTTATTTACCTATTTGTCATCTTTTTGCTTTTTAAGAAAAAAAATTCATTTATTTGACTGCTTGGAAGAAGGGGTGGATAGCTAAAATGAAAAAGCAGTAAAAGGTTGTGACAGTGATCTGATTGATAAATTTTGCATTTGTTTTTTCTATTCGCGTTATGATCATCACGATTCCTTGTTTGTTTCGATAAAGAATCAGTCTCATTTAAATAGATTTCAGATGCAGCCCTACATGCAATATAATTTCGTTTTGATACCAGCAGCTAAGAGTATTTTAAACACGCAATTGTCTCAGATCTTAAAATGGACTGCATTGTTCGCAGTAGCTTGTGGTAATTTTACTTTCGTTTTTTTCTTCTGCCTTGTTCGTAGTTAACGTCGATCCATTCTTCTGTGTTGGGAATTTTATTTTACTTTAATTTTTATTAGTTGTTCAACTGACACCATTTTATTTTATTGAATTTCTCTTGGTATTATTGTTGTTCAGAACCCAAATATCTTTGGCATGAAAATAAGCGGAAATTTTCTTAACTTATATTCATGTGATGCGGAAAATGTCATATTTTCAGGTTTTCCATTATTTCGTTTGTCACTGCTTCGAAATCTTCTTGACATACCTCTATACTTCAGTACTTCTGTACTTTTGATAGTTCACTTCTTCTTGCATCATATTGCTATAGGATTGATAAAAGTCTTTGTCCTTCAGGTAGTTCTTACTTTTTGGCAATTTTTTAGCTTATCATGTGCTTTAAATCAAAGTTTCAATATTCATTCCATTTTTTAGAGTTATGAATTTTCTATGCCACCACCCCATGCTATATTAAATCCAACACCAGAGGAACAAAGGACGTTAATGGATGCTCTTGATTCTAATGGTATCATAAAGGTTGTTTTGAACTTATCAAGGCAATAAATTTGTTTTTCATCTGAGTGAAGTGGTTTTTGAATTGTTTTTTTTATTCTCCAGGTTTTCGCATTTCGGGACTTGCAATCATTAAGTGCTGCATGTTACCGTCGTCGCCAAATTATTTTCTCCTTAAGTCAGCCAGGTATTTTTTTGTCTTTGACAGTCCGGTTTCATTAAAAATTCTCAACTATTAAATAATGAAATCAGGAATTGCAGTTTCTAAATAATGGAGAAAATGAATCGCTTATGTGATTTTGAATTGTAAGCTTGAATTGAAAGTTCAAAATGTTTTTATCTGTGCATGCCATATTAGGAAGAATTGACTAAACTTTTTAAATCAATTTCTAATGTTCTAACGGAACTTTAATGATGATTTTAGGTGGTCATCCTCGAAATTGGAATGCCATAAGACTTTCATGTCTGCGACACATACAGCATTTAAGTCTACAGTTTGAAAATGAAAATGATCGTATTCGATCCGAAACATTTGCAAGTGTAGTAAGCTTCCTTTGTTGATTATTCCTCTATTACAGCTTCATTGCTTTTACGTGTTTGTTATTATCATCGTATAGTAATTCAAAGAACATTATCGTCAGTACATTTATGATCATGCATTCAACTGAATAATGTTGTTATCTGAGGATTGTCCATGTTCTCTTCAGCATCAAAGCGTGTATTTCTTTATAATATTTTAAGCATCGTTCAAGTAATGAATTTTCTGTTTAGGCCGCTCCCCTAATGTCATCATCAGATAGTAACCGCCCAGTTATTTTGGGTCATAGAGCATGGCAAAAAGGTATTTTATTCCTTTTTTCACTAGTATGAAACGTCAACTGAAAACAAGGTGAACAGCTGGAATAAATTATTCCGTATTGTAAATCACTTTCGTGCTGGTGCACCAATTTATGCACGTCACTCTGCTTCCTGAAATACATTTGCGATATAAGTGGTTCAGCCATTTATCTTATTCATGTTCTAATTAGATCTATTGATGGGAAACCAGACTATGTGCTTTGTTCAAAAATTTTTGTAAAATTTTCCTTTAAATGAAAATTATGGTTACAGTTTTTCGTTAAGATTCTCTAAAATACCAATGATTTCTTGACTGGAAAAAGTATTAATGATCTGTGATTGAAAATTTTTTAACTCTCAGCTTGCTAAATATCGTTTTCCAGATAGTCTTCGGCAACGACTCCTGCCTCAAAATTTGCGAAAAGAGAGCAAGGAGTCCTCGCATGCTAGTCTTGTGAATAAATTGTCATTCTTTTTGGATAAATTTCTCATTCATGACAATCGCCATATTGTTTCATTCTTCGAAGTTTATGTGGGTATTCTGGCAATAGAAAGTTAGTTTATTAAAAAGATTTTATTTCTTTTTTCGTTGGCCAATTTGGTTTTTAATTTGAGAGAAGTTACAGTTTGAGATTCGGAATAAATTGCAGTTTTATAATCTAGTTACCATATCTAATCTACGAAGAGAAACTGGTAGTGCCTAGCTGTGATGACATTTGTGATGGTTGATGGGGTTTTTGGTAATTTCCATTACCATATGCTGTGGCTTCAATTAATTAGTATACCCATTAAGAGCTAATAATACCACTACTTTTATATAAGTTGATTGATTTTTAACTTTTTTTTTATAATTAAAATTCAGTATTAAATAAAAATTCCATGTTCTGTCTTTTCATGAAATGAGGATGTCTGAAAGAGCGGGAGAGGGGGAGAAGGAGAGAGAGAATGCGTTGCGTTATTTTTTTTGTGTTTAATTTGCGTTGTGGTAAATGACTTAAAGTTACTCAGGTCTATCATCACTTGTTTGCATATCATTGAGTGAAGATCGTTTCGGTGTGGTACAGAAAGATTTACATCAAATAGTATCGGTATTGCTTCAGTTTTGCAATAATCTCGAAAGGTACATGCGTTCCGTTAAAAAGGTTAGTGTTTGTCATGAATAATCTTATCTTTTTTAGACAATTGGAGTGATGGTATGTGAATTTTGAAATAGATTTATGAAGATTTTGTACAAATTACGGTATTCTTTTGTTATCAATTGAGCAAGAACTTTACACCATTTCAACGCTTGTTTGCTCTATCTTCACCATCAATCTTAATTTTTTTGAAGAGAGCTAAGATTGTGGAAATACGAATTAGGATTTGAATGAAAAATTCAATACAGAGCTACCTTTATATTGAATTCTTCATTTAAATCATAATTTAAATATATGCTAAAAAGATCCGGCATATGGTGGGAATTGCAACGATCGGTGTTTCTGAAGTACTGCTTCGACAACACGACCATTTTTTTTAGGATAAGGAATGGCAAAACAAGACATGTGTACCTCTTCTAACTTCCACTACCATGGCATTGAATCGTATGCGCTTCACATTTCCGGAAGACTCAATGTATATAATTCTTTAACTATATAATTTTGTATATAATTCTTTAATATCAGTGGTAATTTTTGCTTTTAAATAATTCTTTGAAATAAAATGATTTCATGAAATGATAATTCTTTGAAATAAAATGATTATTTTTGATTTTTTTTCAGATTCAAACAATTAAGTGCCCAAGAAGCATCCTATTTCGAGAAACTGACGTCTTTTGATTAGAAATTTCGAGTTTGCTCTGTATGATCTCATCAAACATTAATTTCATGAAAGTGTTTAAAAAGCTTCCCTCCGTAGTTTGAAGAAGCTTTGTAATTGAAACAAATCATGAGTAGCAGGTCACACAAAATCTTGAAATTTTCGGAAAGGATATGGTGAAAATTTTGTAGAAATTTTTTGGAAAATTGGAATAAAAATTAGAATTATGTGCTTGTTTTCCCATTTATTGCATTGTCTATTCCCATGTCCAATAAAAGAAGATTAAATCATTTATCGGTAGTTGTAATCTCGGGATTGATTGGATTTTATAGGTTGGATGAAATGCTAAATTTTGTAAATTCAACTTTATTTTGAAACAGAATGAAATCTACAGCTATTTTTAGGTGATAAATTTGATTGTCTATTAGAAAGTATTAGAACCGATATTAAATCTTTCTTTTCAAACGAAAAATTTATTTTTATCTGTTTGTTTAATTTTGAAATTTTAGAGTTGAGCTCTAAAAAATTTAGATTTGTTATATTGTTGCATTTTATGCGATTTATGTTATTTATTTGTCATAACTGATGTTTCGAACTAAATCAATAAACTGCAGAATCATATGAAGACATGAGTATGACGCCGCATTGTCCAGGTATCCCATGAAACATTTTTCGGAATAAACCGGGAGGTTATATGTCGATCAGCGAAGATTTCTGGTTGATATAGGTTCAAATAATTCGTAATTGATTTATAATAAAAGTTCTCTAGTATTTATTTCATATTGTTTTTGTTGAAAATGTTGTGAAAGTTCTCAAAAAATAAATTTGCATATATAAAATCTAGTTCTTGAAAGGCCATTATCTTTCATTCATGAAGTGAGACGGTGAAGCGTGTTGATAGCGCAAGTGTCGTCTCAGTAATTAATTTCAGGGCGAAAAGGAAGAAAAAACGGTCCTTGGTTACTGAAATTTTTACATACTTAAACTTAATTCCTGTAGCATTATTTTTGAGTTGAATTCTCCCTATCTAAATTTAATTCTCTCCTGATTGAATTCACTATCATTAAACTCAACTCCTAACCAGTACACATAATTATTTATAGAACTAAGCTAGGAGTCTTTCCGTTTAATTTTTATATTTAGTTTTCCATTTCTGAATTTCAGATTTTTTTACCATCCAGAATCGAAAGTCCACCCTTCTCAAGCAAAAACTAATCTCTCGTAAAACTGATACGAGGCGCACACGCGTAGCAGAAAAGATCCTCAAAAAATGCAATTTAACTTTTCACCCATACTCCTCATCGGTTTGTCTACTTTCCGGAATGTACTACTGTAGTACTAGACTGCCAACTGTATGGTGTGCAACTTTTTCCAATAGGTTACGAGGATTACCGTAAGCCTTTTTTTTCGGTTTTTTAAGTGGAATTTCTGAATCAATTGCATGAAAAGGCATTCTCTACTATCAGTATTACTGTTTTCTAGTTCGATATTCTCAAGGTGTGATATTGCATTATCACACTAAATTTTATCCTTCACGAATCTAAAGTCCCACTCGAGGATTTGATAATGGATGCAACTTCCTGACAAAGCTGTTATAGTGACATAGATGCTAATTAGATTTCCATCAAGAAATTATCAAAAGTTTTTTGTTCAGATTTTCGGGATTTCAGTTTTTTAAAAATCAAATATTTTTGTATTGTTTAAAGTTGTTTAAAAGTCCATCAATTTTAGCATGCATAGGTCGATTAATCCGTTATTTCTGTTACCGTATCTTCATATTAAGTCATTTTATCTTGCCGTCAATATAGTTGCGGTTTTGCAGAGTTTGCACTATTGGATTGTTGAATTTTCGGCAAATTTTCTCTTCATTTTCCTCAAACAAACAGGTACCATTACCATTTCGTGAAATGAATGAATTCGAATGGTTTTTGTTTCTTCTAGGATGTTTCTTGAGGTATTGATAATAATGTGAAATAGATAAGAGAGAACTTCTAGAGATAGTTTAGATGCGTTAGGAGAGGTTTTCGACGTAATGAAGAAGGTTTTTGAAATGTTGAGATTGTATTCGGATATGGTAAAGAGTTTTTGGTAAAGGTAAAGCTATAAAGTTATAAGGCTATAAAAGTTTTTGTAAAGCTAAGAGAAATTTTGCCGCGTTGAAAATTCTTCTGGATGTAGGTTGACATTTCAAGAATCATTCTTATGTTGCGAAGAGTACCTAACTATCGTAAGGAGTAATTGAAGTTTCTGGTTTCTGATTGTTTAAACTTTGGTAATTTTTAAGTCAAAATTGAATGAGAACAAAACTTCATCAAAAGCATGTGACTGTTAATAGTATCACTAGATTTGATGTACTTATTTAGAACAATACGGCAGGCAACAGCATGTCGGAAGAGCAAGTAACCAGCAGTCCAATAAAGAAGACTTCGCATGAAAATTCACCGCTAACGGAGCCATCAACGCCTGCGGACAGCAACTCAGCCAATTCGAATGCTCTTGAGAAATTGGTGACAAAATTAGGAAAATTAACGACTAAAGAGAAGGAAAAAGGTGTGACTTGGTGCTCACATATATATGGTCATTTGTTGCGCAAAACTAGGTTTTGGGATTTAACAATGAGTAATTATGGGAGAGATATGAATCAAGTATATATACTTTTAGGAGGTTCGTTTTTTTGGCAAGTATATATATTTTTAGGACGTTAGGAGGTTTGTTTTTCGTAGAATGGTTATGAATTCAAATTTCTTGAATTTAAATTGAAGCAAGTATAAGAAATGTAAAAATGAATATTGCGATTTTTTTCAGTTTCTGAAACATATAAAAGTTTTGATGGATTCAGTGGTTTTTTCTGTCGAAATATTTGAACACCTTTAGTTTTTTCGAACCCATTAAGTGGATGAACACACGAATCCCAAGCATTAGATCACATAGGAGTTGGTTGAAATATATGAGTATAGACAGCATATTTTCAGATACAAGGCAAAAGTTGTCGTCGTTAACAATTGAAGGCATCGCCGAATATATTTGTAAATCTGAGGTAAAAAATATAATTGTTCTAACAGGAGCGGGCATATCAACATCTGCTGGTGTTCCAGATTTTCGAAGTCCAGGTCCAATTTCTTTCGTGCCATCGTTTTTTGATTAGGAAATCATTTATTTTTCCTACAGATTCCGCAGTGCATCATCATTCTAGCAATCTACCAAAGACATCCCAATAGTTTATCTGATGATATCGCCTTGTAAAATTCATGATGATATCATGTTGTATTTTGCTTTTTAATGATCACGTTTGCTTTTATAAACCTGGAATATAGTAAGTAGTCCATATTTCGGTTCTTAAATTTTTAGGAATCCTGAGATATTTAATTTATGATTATATTGTACGAAATTTTAACCTTTGTGAATGAAATTCAGGTAGTGGATTATATGATAACTTATCACAGTATAATTTGCCCGATCCTATGGCTATTTTTGATATTTCCTATTTCAAGAGACATCCTGAACCGTTCTACAAATTAGCAAGAGATTTGTTCCCATCGCATTTGAAAGTGAAATTTTTGAAATTTAAAAAATAGAATAAAATCAAGAGTTTCCATTCTTGCCAGATTTTGTTTTTTGTTATGTAAATAATTTAAAGAAACGCCATTGGTCTTTATAGTGAGGAAGTGTTATTGGCAATAAGATAGGCGGAAAGGTACTGAAATAATTTCTTTGTTTTCAGCCTACTCCTTGTCATTATTTAATTCGTCTAATTGCTGAAAAAGGTCTGCTGTTAAGATGGTACACACAGGTATGTTACATTGCTGTTTGCCTGAATTAGTGTAATGCTTTACGTTTACGCATTAATTATGTAAACAGATTTGTGTCATTTTTTTCATCTTAGTTAATGCGAATCATCAAATGGTAGCCACATCAGCATCTCCTAATTATTCATTATGTAGCTTTTGCTTCCGGTTTTCATCACAAACAAGCATGCAAGCTCAATTAGTTTGCTTGAGTATTTGACCTATTTTGAAATTACTTGCAATAATTTTTTCTTACGGACATTTGTAGTAGCTAAATAAACTGAGAGAGTTGTTTAATAGGATAAAAGTCATCTGTAGGTAGAGGCGTGGAATCAGTTTTCTAAAGATAATGGAAAACTATGCTATCTTTTATTCAAAAAATTGTATATGCTTTCAGAATATTGATTCCTTGGAATTTGTGACAGGTATCAGTGAAGAGAAGTTGGTGACAGCGCATGGATCTCATCACACAAGCACTTGTTTATCATGTCGTACAAAATTTGATTTAAATTGGATAACAAGTGAGTGCTTTTGCATTTGCATAAATATTGCATGTTTGCAAAGATTCGACAGTTGTGAAGAGATAGGTCAAAAATTGAGAGTGGAACTTAAAGTTGAAGTATGGTCAGATGAATTGGTAGTTAAGAAGTAGTGGTGTAACATTGTTCCGCCATTCAGTCTTAAGTGCCAAAAAAAGTTTTGATTATAAGAGATGTTTTTAGCAACTTTTCAAACATTCCCTGAAAAATGTGGAAAAAGCATAGCATGAATGAAAAACTTATTTTCAAAATTTTTCCAGATAAAATATTTGTGGAACATGCCAAAGTAGCACATTGCGATAAGTGCGGCGGAGTCGTTAAGCCTGATATCGTATTTTTTGGCGAAAATCTTCCAGAACGATTTTTCAACTGCTCAATCAGAGTACCTTTTAGAAAGCATGAAGTAGAGTTGTGTAAAGGTTGATGATTTCAAGTTTGGTTAAAAAGATCAGACCGAAAGTAATAGGTTGTTCTTCTTACCAGACAATCAAATATTATTCAGAAGGTAAGTAAGGCCTTTCCAGGATTTTCCCAAATGTGATCTTCTTATTATTATGGGAACATCTCTCGTCGTACATCCTTTCGCAGGATTAGTTGATGAAGTTAACGATGATGTGCCTCGATTATTAATCAATTTAACAGAAGCTGGCCGCAATATGAGCTCATTGTTCTCTTTTGGTGGTAATTCCGGCTTACGCTATCGCGATAAGAATAACTACAGGTTTGCTTTGGTGATAGTAATAGAACAGAATGACGTTGATAATAGTAAAATGGATACTGTTTGTTTTAGGAGGAAATTTGCTCATAATTTGCTTTATTTTTTTGTTCAATTAGATAATTCAATTCTGTTTCGCAATCGTTTAGAGACGTATTCTGGCAAGGCACATCGGATGATGGGGCCTGGAAACTAGCCGAATTGTTGGGGTGGAAGACAGAGCTTGAGAAATTGATAGAAACAGAAATGAAGAAAATGGATGAGAAGGAGGAAAAGGATAAGAAAAACATTGAATCTACTGTTTCAACAGTTGACAGCATCAGTAATGGTAAAGGAACGACGAAAACAGTTGATGAAACACCAACCAAATAATAAAATATGTATTGATTTCATCTTATTTTTTGTTCTGACGATACATACTTTAAATGAATGTTCAATGATTACCTTTTTTCAACATCTTTTCGTTCTATTAATGATTCAGTTAGTAACTTGAGTTAAAATTATTATACTGCACCATTACGATTTTCTTTTCAGGGTATCGGCAGAAAAATTGGGGCCTTCAATAATTGCGGTTTTTCCAAAAATTTCCTTCCTTATCTTTTGTTCGGGATTTGTAATGATTGTAATTTGTATATCATAACGATTTCGATGTATGAACGAAAGTGGTGTACAGTAATTCCGGTAAAGACAGTGTGGCATTATGCCCAAGCATGAGTGGTATTTTCCTGAAAAATACGATGTAAGAAGAATTCAAAATTGGCGATGTAAGAAGAATTCAAAATTTAGCTCTTTGTATCTTCTTACCTGGAATGGATTTATGAATATTATAACGTCCCTTTCCGTTGCAATTTTATGTTACTATTATGTCCCAATTTTAAAATTCATTATTGTATGATTTATCATTCAGAAATAAATTTATGAACTTGTAATCATTTTGTAGAGTTAGATTCTGATTTATTTATGCTTACACAGTAAGGAAGTGATGAGTGAGGTCAATTAATTATGTGGAAAAGTGCTGACCAAAATTGCACTCTATGTTGGACACTCCCTCATAATCTTGATTTTGTCAAGTGATTATTTATTGCAAAAACATTTGCTTTTATTTCACAATATTGCTTTTTGAAATTTTTCATAAAACAAACCAAAATCATAAAGTATTTTTTTCTAACAGTTATTTGACATGAAGTGTTAATACCATTCTTTTCATGTGGAGCAATGGTACCATTCTTTTCATGTAGAGCAATGGTACCATTCTTTTCATGTAGAGCAATGGTATCATTCTTTTCGTGTAGAGCAATGGTATCATTCTTTTCATGTAGAACAATGGTACCATTCTTTTCATGTAGAGCAATGGTACTATTGTTTTCATGTAAAGCAATGGTATCATTCTTTTCACAAAGTAATGATATCATTCTTTTATTAGTAATGGAATCATTGATACCATTCTTTTATTTCTTTTATATGGGAATGGGATTTTGTATGAAGGATAATTGGAATTGCCAAACAAACTGATAATTTAGAAGTTTTAAAAAAAGTGTTACCAACAAAATGAATCAAGCCAATTACAATAACGTCAACAAATGAATTATATGATAAAATAGCTTCCAAAAGTTGTTTATGTATTGCCAAAAATTGTTTATCTATTGTTTATATCATTTACAACGATTCTTTTTTAATTCAATAATTTAGCTATTGCTCAAAATATTGGTTCTTTTTTGAAGAAACTAAAATTGTAATTATATTATTTAAAAATTAATGAACTTTTCATTCATTTAAGATCGAAATTAATTATTCATTTCAAATACGAATAATATCACAAATAAATTCTTCACTCATCCATTTCATTTTACAAAAGATACCTTTAAGTTTATTCAAATGGCAGTAATTTTTTTTTGTTGTAAATTTTGATTCACTTTAATAAGTAAAAAGATTTTACGACTTATCAATCATTCTCAAAAGTGAAGAATAAAATTTGTGTTGTAAAAAAAAACTTAACAAATCGAAATTGTTCATTAACAAATTCTACGCAGGCAATAATAATAATACGTTTTCGTTACAGCTCATTATTAGTTACTCATTTGGGACATTTGTATATTGTTAACGAACAAAATGTAAATTTTAAATTTCCCCAGCAATATGATAAATGAAAGATGACTCATTGTTAAAACCGTCGAATAGCCTTTATTGATCATATATACTCCTGTAGAGCGGAAATATGTATTAGCCGGCCGGCCTTTAAGGCACTACATATTTGTGTTCATACATGGCGTGAATATATATTTGATGACTTGAAATAACACAAATATGTATTAGTGATCATTTAACAATGATAAAGATTTGATAACACATACTTTGCTTTTTCCTCCAACTTCTTAAGTAATAATATTAATATTTAATTCTTCACAGAAATTCATTGATTGAGAAATTTTTGCATGTTCCTCCATTCCAGCATTTTCATCTTTGCCAATTACTGATCATTCTGGTGAATCAATAGCATCAAAACATTTCTTCATTTCCACTTATTTTAATCCGTCACCATAAGCATCATAAATTATTAAATGTTGATTGCAAAATAAAAGCGAATTTAATTTTGAAGAGGAATCAAATGTGTGTAGTCAATTTTCCAATCAATTTTCAAGAGTTCCTTTTAGGTTCGTAAACCATAAATACAATTTTCAGGAATCAAAAATCTTATCGTGAAACTTTTTGATTTGAATTTGTTGTTTCGTAGACAAAAATTGTTAGAGAGGTTTATTCTTCCTGAAATTTCTTTTTATAAGACAATATCAACGAATATCAACTTAGAGACGTTCACTACTTGGTTGTATGATAGTAAAATCGACTGTATTTCAACCTGGTGTAAATTATGATGTCTCCACCAGTTTGAAGCGCAATATTTAATGAGAGAGCCCAAATGTGATCAAATGGTACTTAATATTTGCAACTACTAGCAAACAAAGCATCTTATTATATAATTCTTTAGACACAAAGTAAGCTAAATGAACAAAGAATTAGCTTAACATTTGAAATTCATTGATAAATAATCTTTACAATATGAATTGGATAAGTGACAGAATCGGAACAGTTTTCTAGAATGCAAGTACGACAAGTAATGATTTCATCTTTATAGCAAACCATTTATTTTTTCGATGTTTAGGATATTTTTAGATAGTGTATCTATCAGTAAAACTTTTAAGTGCCGAATAATGATTTTCCACGATACAGCTTTTGAAATTCTCTTTCAATAATGCAGTATTCCTGAATAAATTCATTACATCATGACAACTTGAAATCAGTTATGACGATGAGATTTATAAATTAGGTAAGAAGCAGAGTTTTGGCTAAAACAAAAATTTTTATCTCACACGCTTAAAAACATTGTCCTTATACTTGGGTCAAAATTGCCCTTGTACTTGGATCATTGGATAAAATATGCAGACGAAATTTTATCGCACAAATCAGTCAACGGCAGCACTATCAATTATTCAAATTTTTTTCCGCTTTGGTTCTTCAGAATATTGACTAAATGTATTTGAGGTAGTCAAACACCAAACGGTCCCAGAAGTTAAACGAGCTGATATGTAAAATGTAGCTACCGAATGCAATAATGTTTCTGCATGACTACTAAAATTTGCTATAGTAGAAAAGAAAAACAAAAATGCGAAATTTTAAATTAAGAGATAAAAAGAGAGTTTCGATTAAAAGTGTTGAAGCAACAAGCAAATGTGACAGGACGAATTTGAAAGAACTATCAATACATGCCATACAGAGAGGAAAATGTGACAAAAGCTGATCGGCAGTTTTCAACTATAAAACGTAGCAGCATTCACAGTTAAGCCAATTTTTTAAAATGGAATGAAGCCCAAAATGAAGAAATTACAACACATTATCTGGAAAGTAAAAAACAACATTATTAAATATTCACTAAAACTTCAACTTCCTTAAAATTAAAATTAAAGAGGTTATAACCTCTTGTGTAAGAAAAGTATTCCATGCAATGAAACATACGACAGTGGCTAAGGTCTATAATCAATATATTGCTAATAAACCCTGCTTTAGAAGCCACGTATTCCCTGACTCACACATTACATCGCTCAATTTATATTTCAAAGACAAAAATGCTCGTTTAAATTCAATTCCATCACCACGCGAGCGTCGGCAATCTACTATTACCTAAAACACAATTTACAAATTTTTTATATGTGATACAATCTATCATCACTTAAAACTTACAAATTTATATGTAAAATCGATTACCACTTCGGGAGTATAATGGAGCTCAAGAGCTGGAAAAGTCAAACTTTAGGACATTCTGACTCGTTTTCCGGAAACTAGAAAGCTATCTATCTATACACAAAACTGTCATCAGAGAAACATCTAAGCAATAATATAATATTATTCTGATCAACCGCCAACATTTCAGTAAAGGCCAAATAATTTCATTGCAGATTTTTTCAGGACATTAATTACTACCATATTGATTTACATTTATGCCTTCCTAATGAAAAAATTTTGAAAAAAAATTTACCTTTCTACCATCTTCTGCCATTATTTCGTAAACTGTTATTACATAACACATGTAATTCCGAGGAGCACTAACTGACATCTGAAATGAAGTCAATGGAATGAAATTTTTCAGCAAAGAAAGCATTCGTGTCACTTCATCCAACTGTAAGGAATACCTACAATTTCGGCGATCAACAGCCTACTAATTACATACGACAGCATATCTTTTATATCCTATACAATACAACTACTAGCCACTCTTCAATTTGTTGCAATCCCACAATTCCAAATTCTTCAGCGGAAAGAAATCACAGATTATTTATTTCATTTTACATTAAAAAAAACAATGATGACTATTCACTCTCCAACTGATATAAATTTATCTTACTAATGAAAAAATTTTGAAATTACCACATTAGCCGCACGTCGTACACATGTAACTTCAAGGCCCAATCTGTCTTCGATGATTGACAAAATTTCGGACGTACTCTTTGTCACACAGAAACGTGTCATACGGCGCGCTAGGTTTTCTAACGGATGCTATAAGGAAATTTAAGTATGTAAAATTGGATCAGACTTGAGCTCTTTCAGTGCACTGCTAAGCAGTTCAGTACATCTTGGAATGGAGTTGGAGAGCAACTGTACAGCCCTCTCTAGCTGTAAGGAAATTTAAGTATATAACTCATTATAATTAGAAGCTGATTGAAAGGTAATTTTCAAAATTAAGCACGTTTATTTCGGTTCTAATTTTCAAAGTTTTTGAATATTGATATACAGGGAAACAATTATTTTGAAATTACAGCTTGCCTGGTCGACATCGCACTCGACTTGTGACAACAGTTCTACACCAGTAGGCTGTGAAAAGAAATTATTATTCACTGCGTTCAATCGTAATTCCCTACAACTCGGGTCAATACACACAACAGATTTTATAATTTAAATTTTTGAAAATTTTTTTTCCTGAAAAACTCGAATGTTTTGTTTTGAAATGTCCAGAACAGTAGATAAAAATGCTACCGGAATATTTAGCTATAGACCAGCAGGTTTTCATTACTTTTTTTAGGAATTTATAAAGGCATACCTTGTTACCTGCGAATTGCAAGATGGAGCAGGCTGGGAAATTGTACCGACTGGTAATTTCAATCTGAAAATCTAGTGACTTGAAGTGTACCAGAAATTTTTTGCATAAATATAAAAAATATAAAATTTATATAAAATTTTTTGTTTGAAAAAAAGAAAGAAACTTTGTATAAACTTTATATAGAGTTAGCGATTCTATTAAAAATCAAATGAAATGATTAGATGATAATGATTCATGCGATAATTTTCAGAATTTCAAAAAAACTATGAAACAGTCCACGACAAATATGTTACAAAAAAAATAGAGAACTAAATTCGAAAATGTTACCTTTCTTCAGTGTTGGTAGGAGTTGATAGTCTGATCCTCTTTGAAATAGGTTCTTCTTCATCCTCAATTGCCTTTTCCTTCAATAAGTTTGATGGTCCTGCAGCTTCGCTATGTTCCTTCAAATTTGTTGGATTCTCATCAGTAGTTCGAACTGCTTTTTTCCTATGTTTCCTTATTGTTTCGGCACTCGGTATTTCATAGTCTTAAATCACGAACAATTTAAAAAGGAAAATGCTATCATCAGATACTATTACCGCTTCATAAAAAAAAATGATATCTTTCTTTAGTACCGTTAGGAGTTGACAATCTGATCCTTTTCATGTATATTCTAGTTTAATAAAAAACAAAATCAGGTTTACCTATCTCCTTGGCGAGAAATTCATGCTCTTCAATTTCCGGAATTTTGATTCGTCTATTCTCACAGACATCCAACATCTTTCGTAATAAATCTGAAATTCATTTATATATAAGTAAATAATAGTAAGCATATGAGGAAATTAGAAATACCACAATTAAGTGATGATAGTCGTAGCAGGAAAAAAAACAGTAACTAAATGATAGCATTGGTCGATTGAGATAATTGATATTTAAGCAATAGACAAATAATATACAGTAGTTGAAGGACCAGAATAATTGTCTAAGAATAAATTGTGATCAATGTCAAGAAAGCTACTTTTACGTATTAAAAGGAATAAAGTAAAATGTTCACATTGTTAATGACGTTTCACAAAAAGGGATACAGAAAAATCAACTGCAGCAATGACTGGTTTCCAAAAAGAATTTAACATTATATTAAATATTGCTATAAGATGTACTTGTTATTACTCCCAAAAGTCTATCCCAAGGTGGATGACGTCTCCAATCATATTTCGTGAGCCAAAGTTTGAAAGACTGTGAAGTTCTGAAATGTAGAAAGAGTACAATGAACCATCCATAACTGATGGCAAAGAACTGTTAAAAATTGCATGAGACAACTGGAAACTAATTATTTCAAAAAATACTTAGTCGCTTCGTCCCAAGGTAATTCACCAGTAAGCATTGCAATGAGTACAATTCCACAAGACCATATATCGGATGGTTCACCTCTGAACATCAAAAATTACCATAATTCATTAGCATCATGAGTTTTTTAATCTTCGTTAGCTGTTGATATGAAAACATACTATAGAATTTTCTTTCAGAAATATGTGCCGAATCTTCTGGAGATATATCCGTTACATTAAATACTCTTACATCAACAGTTAATAAAGAGTAAAACAATATAACAATCGGAAAGTGAACCTGTAGTTTGATTCTAACACTTGAGGCGAAAGATATTGTACTGTGCCACATTTCGATCTCAACTTTCTCTCCACTCCTTGACGGCGAAATATTGTTGCTGCACCAAAATCGCAAATTTTTAATTGACCTGCAACAAATATAATATGAAGTCCAGAAAAGCCTAAAACTTCAGGACTAAATTATTAATATATCATTTTGCTTAAAAGATCTATCTCATAAATTTAAAGCCTGATTAAGGCTTAGCGCTTGCGAGAGAAAAGAAAGAGAAAACTTCTTGGCGTAAGATACCATTTTTCATAAGTAACAAATTTTCCGGTTTGATATCACGATGTGCAATACCCATTGAATGAAGATGCTTTAAACCACTAATAATCTGTCGGAAAAATTTCTGCGCCTTCACAGCTGGCATGCCGCTGTCCGGTTCTCAAAACATAAGGAAATATGAATGAAAAACGTAGATTTTACATCAAATCACTTAGCATTAATCAGAAGCTGCGATCAATTATTAAAGCACGTATGAACGACTGAAGAGCAAGTGTATTTTGAGCAAGACTTAAAAATTTGACATAAGAAAAGAACACCAAATGATGGCTTATTAAAGATAAAAACCAATTAAGATTTGTAAAACATTTTATTGAGCACAAAGAACCAAGCTTTACCAATATGATCGAACAATTCCCCTCCATCAGCATACTCTAGAAACATTTCAATACGTCCCTCATCATAACGCATTCCAATGTAACGAATGACATGTTCAGATTTGTGGAATATACGCATAATAAACGCCTGCCAAAATGTTTAATTACATGTATAATATTCAAAAATTGTCGAAAAACTAGAAATTTTTGGATGAAATTACCTCAAAATATTAAAATTCATGGAATCAGCAATCTTGGGGTTTTATTATGAACACTGTCTTTGACAAGCTGAACAGAAAGTAATAAAGCAAATTTACTTCCGTTTTTTGATACTTTACTTCGTTTTTGATACTTTCTCCACATTTCCAAATTTAGTTCCTAATGAAAATCAAGAAGCTAACTGTCCAATTTTTCCAGTAATCCTCTTGTATTTCTAATTAAAAAGCAATAAGACAACTTCTCGACGTAGTTTTCCGAACAACTCCTCTTGTTCTTCTTCATCTGCTGTATCTGCAGCCATACATTTCGCAGCAACCACTCTTTCTGGATTTTTCGAATCTACCAATAAACGAACTTCACCAAATGCACCTTGAAATTAATTTGAAAACATTAAGATATTTAAAATACTTGAAGTTTGAAAGTTTTTTCACAAAAATACGCTTCAAATTTTAAAAATTAAAATACCTTACTAAAATATTTAAAGAATTCGATCACCATCCGTTTTTTAGATGTACCAGAATAGAAAATTAAGAAAAAATAAATTGAAACTAATAACTTACCATCACCTAACGTACGAACAGTATCCCACTGAATATTTCGATATTCTCGTGGTAATCGTATGATGAATCTAAATCTATCCTTAGCAAACAATAATTCCCATGCTCTTTTTTGTTGCTTAAGTTGTTCATCATCGTCAGCCGACATTAGGGAAATCTCGTAATATAAGTATAAATTTCTGAATTGCTAAAGCTTACTGAAACTGAAATAAAGCAAATATTTATGTTATCATTTATCAATTTAAGTTATCATCTATCAATTTCACCATCCCGAACATCCGCTCCCTTCGCTAACACTTATCAATTATCACCAACTGTCCCCCTCACCCCTTTACAACCCTACCGCACTTTCGTCCACTCATCTATCGTCCGCACATTCTTTCCTCGCGCTTGCATTATTCAAAACTGCCCTAACCGCCAAAATCGCTTCGATATAGCAGCAGAAAATCCGATATACTCTGTTGCTGATAATGACGGAGAATGGATATAAAAATTGTGATGTTAAAATATCATTGGGGTGTTGATCATTAATAATAAACGCTATCATATCATTAAGATATCAACTATTATCAGTAACGTTGTTATATCAATAACATTTAAGCATTATCAGTGATGCGTGTACATTATTAAATGATAATGATTTTTTGCCATATTTATTGCATGTTGTAATCGTATAATGCAATTAATTGATGATAATATTTAATGATGAAAATTGTTATGAATTGCATTCATGCATTTGCATTCACGTGATAAGTTTATTTTCAATTTTATTTTGGTTATTTTACAAAAAAATCTTGAGGAAATATGTAATGCTTTCTTGAGAGAGAAAAAGAAAATTAGATTGTTTCAAAACTTTTCATATTATTTGTATTGTTCTTTTTTTTAAAAAAGAACTTTTCCATTTCTTGCTAATGATATCAAAAAAATTGCAACCAAATTATCATTTAGAAGTGATACCAATAGATTAATTTTACTCCGTGAAATTTCTGGAATATTCGTTAGATCAACAACATACAGATATAAAATTTTAGTTGTTAGTTTTATATTCATTTCAATTTCAGGTATTCAATTTCATATTTTGGAGTACATAGGGATAGTATGAGATGAGTGTTATGTTTGGTAAGTTTGTTTTGATAAATTAAAAAGAAACTATAAGAGGGAAAAAAAGGAAACTTAATGCATCTTAATTTTAAAGAGGAAAAATGCTCTGTATTTAAGGTTTTTTTTGATTTCCTAATTATTCTATCATTTGTAACGGATTGAGAAACAAAAGATAAAAATGTGTTAATTAACAAATAAATTAACCAACAGATTAGATGTGAATAATAATTGAAATTAACATACAGGTAAAGAAGATAGTAAAGGAAAATATCATTTTACTTATTTTTATCATTTTTGCTTGTTTAATTGTCAACCAATTGTTTTATTGTTATTTGTTGTTGTTTATCCCACGAATATTTATTATTTTTTGTTTCTTTTTTTCTTTGTTATTGTCTATTCTACAAAAATTTGTTATTTTGTTCTTTGTTATTACTATTATTATTGTTGTTGTTGTTGACTTAATATTTTAATCGTTGGAATTTATATACTATAAAATATATAAATGCATTAGTTGGTCTGATTTGTTCAACACTTTTTTCATGAGTTCTCTATTGTGCCACTACAAATGCAACTAAACAATCAATAAATCAATAAAATGTGTGAACAGAAAATGGGCAGCATTGTTAAGCGATTAAATCGCACACTGTCATCGCTGATAAAACCGTCATCATCGTCATCATCATCACTACATTTATTACTACTACCGTTATCATCACTATTATTACTACTACCACTACTATCATCACTATATATTATCATTACGAAGTATTGATTATTTTAGGTAAGTATGAGAAAGGTAAACTTTTGATGGCAAAAAAATAGGAACACCTTAAAAGGTAAAAATTACTTTTACAAATTAATTATGTATTTTCGTGATAAACAATAACAGAAGATAAATTACATCAATAATATAATCAAATACCAATTGGTAAATGAATTTATGTAAGTTATAAAAATTAACAAAAAAATTTTTTATTAACTAAATGATTTATTAAACGATTTTAAATTGTAAATCAATTTAGAAAAATTACCTTTTTTTTGTTTTTAATTGATTAAATAAAATAATGGAAAAAAAATGACATTAATTGAAAATATTAGGCTATCTTTTAATTAGTGTTATTGTATATTTCGATCAACAAATAGCAAATTTAACTTAACTTTTCCTTCACTAATTGTAGATTTAAATAATTAATTGAATAGATTAAATGGAATAATTTAATTGTAATGAAATGAAAAAAAGAAATTCTATTTAAGTTATAACAATTACCTGTTCTAATAATTAAATAATTATTTATTATTCTTTGAATTTAAAGGAAATAATTATTGTGAATAATTATTAAACAAGAAATAATTATTAAATGGTAATTATTTTGAATATAAAGAAATAATTACTTATTCTCTTTGACATAAAAAAATCCAACGATAAAATTAAAACATAAAATGACTATCGAAAGAAAATTTTTTGATGTTTTCTTCATAAAACATTATTTTGATCAAACGACGAATAATTAAGTAACAATCAAATTATTTCGAATTTTTGCACTTTTTAGGTCGAATTATTTCGAATTTTTGCACTTTTTAGGTCGAATTATTTCGAATTTTTGCACTTTTTAGGTCGAATTATTTCGAATTTTTGCACTTTTTAGGTCGAATTATTTCGAATTTTGCATTTTTCACGTTGAATTATTGTCAATTTTTGCACTTTTCAGGTCGAATTATTTCGAATTTTGCACTTCTTAGGTCGAACTATATCGAATTTTACATTTTTTACGTTGAATTATTTCGACTTTTCAGGTCGAATTATTACGAATTTTATAATTTTTAGGTTAATCGAAATAAACGAAGAAACTCATCCGTTATTAATCTTTTATTATAGAAATTTTTGTTAGAATCATATTATTACGGATATTTCACATCAAATTGCTGCTATCATTACAATTAAACGATTAATATGGCATTTCAAGGGTATTCAATTTGTTATTTTCGTTTAATTAATTAATTTAATTATAATTTAATCAATTACCCGTATCACATACTTTTTTGAATTTTTAATCAATTACCCGTATCACATACTTTTTTGAATTTTTAATCAATTACCCGTATCACATACTTTTTTGAATTTTTAATCAATTACCCGTATCACATAGTTTTTTGAATTTTTAATCAATTACCCGTATCACATAGTTTTTTGAATTTTTAATCAATTACCCGTATCACATACTATAATTTAATCAATTACCTGTATCACATATTTTTTTGTTATGAAAGATTAAAACGAAGGAAGAATTGATATCATTCTGCTAATTTAAAATTATCAAAAATTTTTTGTTTATAAAGAAAGGAAAAAGTTCATTCATTGTGACAGTCGAAATATTCAAAGTCAACCCAAATATGTGTGATACGTCATTTTTTAAAAATTATAATATGATAAAAATTAATTCATACTTTTATTATCCTTTAAGATTTAATCACACAATTGCTCTTCTGATTTATTGTGAATGAGGAAGAAAATGCCTTAATTAATTATTGGATTCCTAATTAATTTGTTTAATTTAGTTTAAGAGAGAATCACTTAATTAATCGTAACATAATGAAATTTATGAGCGAGTGAACTAATGAATTCATATTCAAAAAAAAAAACCATTTATTACCTGACCTCACCTGAATAAATCATCTTCATCTCCACTTCTCTTATTTTCATACTTTTATTCTCCCTTAAAATTTAATCACACAATTGCTCTTCTGATTTATTCTGAATGAAAACGAAAATTCTTTAATTAATTATTTGATTTTTAATTGAATTGTTTACCTATTTGGTTTAATTTAGTTTAAGAGAAAATTGCTTAATTAATTAATCATAATACAATGAAATTTATGAGCGAGCGAACTAATGAATATGATTGAAAAATAAAAAATGATGAAAGCGAAAATAATTTAAAAATTTTTAATTTCATTAGTCGAATTTCTCAATTAATTTTAATAATTTCATTTTTGTTTTTTTTTTAAATTATTAATTTGACTAATTACTTTTTAATAGCTAAAGAAATAAGGAAAAAAGAAGAGAGATAACTAATTCAATAAATATTTTTTAAAAATAAAAGAATCTAAATAATTTCCCAAAAACTATGATTCAAATATTATTAGTACATTGTATGAAATTTAAAATAAACAAAACAAAAATTGAACTTTTACCAAACATAAATTATAAATCAATCAATATCAATTATTTATGCATTAATTTTAATCATTGATTTTTCAAAAATTTCGATGAATCATAGTGTTTTGAGAAAAAAAGAAGACGAAATTAAATTGCTCAAAACACTTTCAAATGAATCATCATTGTTTGAAAAAATGATATTAAATAGTTCAAAGTTCATTCATTGAATCATTTTTTATTAATTTCATCTGTAAAAAATTTCTCTCCTCTTTTTCTTCCTTTTTCAGTTACCTTTTAATTTATTACTATTTCTACTTCTATTGAAAAATTGTTTGAACATTAAATGAATTGAATAGTATTAAACGATCGATCGATGGATCGATCAATCGGATGGAACAGTTGAACTTTCTCTTTTCATCATTCCTTCTCTCTTTTTTCATTTTTTTTATTTTCTATTATATAACGTATTGGTGCTATTTAGTTTGAAAATCGGATTGTAATGTGAATGGAATGCTTCACTTCAATTCTTAACTGTAAAAATTTCATTTTTAAACTTTCGATTTTTTCCTTTAGTTTTTAGTCATTTCATTTTAATTATTATTAATTTTAGTAATTTCAAAAAAAAAAAATTTTAATTTCAGGATATGAAAATTTTAATTGAAATTTTATTTAAAATATTATATTTTATTAAATTTAAAATTAATTAAAATTAACAGCTAATTTTGCTTCCTTTTTTTTTCCAACGATAATTTTTCTTATTGTTTTTTTGTTGGTGAAATTTTTAATTTTTGTTAATTATATTGGATAGATTTCATATAATTATCGCAATTTTCGTTATTGTTTTTAATATTATTATTTGAAATTTTGCAATTTCTTCGTTTATAATATGATATAAATTGAGAAATTTATCATAGTGTTATAATATATATTATAGCTTCTAAAATTAAATATATTTTAAGATATCTTTAAATTAATAATACCAAAATTAAAAAAATCAATATATGTATATTAATTACATGAAATTAATATTTATACTAATATGCATAATGGCATTGTAATGAATTTATTCTCATTTCATATCATACTATAAATCAAAAAATTCGAAATTTGAAATATAATAAAGCAACTGATAAGAAAGAGAACACGAATAATTGCATATATTTCATATGCTATTATTTATCAAATAATTTAATAATTCCGAACGAATAAAAATGTAAATAATAATCAATTAAATGTAATATTAATTATTCGATAGTTTATTAGTAATTGAATTCTTAAATAATATTAATTAAAAATTTCTAATGAGAATGTTTGTTGCTAAACAATCATTTTTTCATTCATAATTATTTCAAATGAAATAAACATATCATTCATTCATTTGTACGTATGCCACACTATGAAATCAATTGTACTTCACCTTGAAAACAAGTTTTTGAATTTTTCATTTCTTTTCTTTCACCTAAATGATTTCTGATGAATTTGTTTTATTATTATTCATCACAAGAAGACTTTTTTCAAGTCCGTTAAAATGGCATTGACGAAAGATAGTTTAGTTCAGTTTCTCTTTTCCCTTAAATTAAATGTATCCTAAAATATCTTCAAATTATTCATACTAAGAATTTAATAATAATTTGTTTGAAATTTAATGAATTACGTAATTTCCCTTAAATTATATGTATCCTAAAATATCTTCAAATTATTCATACTAAGAATTTAGTAATATTTTTGTATGAAATTTAATGGATTACGATATATTCTCGAATCAATACTGTAATATATCTTGTTACTTTTTCAAAATAACATTGAAAAAAAATGACAGAAAAAAATTTTGTACGAAAATATAAATATTGATTTGATTTATACTTGATTGATTGATTGATTGATTGATTGAAATATTGATTTATACTAAAATATTGATTTGAGAATCTTTCAAAACGCATTTAAGCGAATTCACAAAGTTTATACAAAGTTTATGTCATCAATTTATTATGAAAATGCTCGTTGCTTAGCAGCTAATATATAATATTTATTATTTTAAATTTCATTATTATTTTCAATCAAAAATTTGTTTACATAATTTTGCAAAATCATAAATTACAAATTGGTCATAAATAAATAGGAACTGTTGATAACCTTTTGTTTCATAAAATCTCGAAATTCTTTTAATATTTTCATAGTAATGAATTAATTATGAATTAGTAATTAAAAAATTAATGCAAAAATTAATTTTGAAAATAAAATTAAACTTTTCAAAAATTTTACAAAAGAAAATATACAAAGTTTTTTTTGAAGAAAAATTTAAACTTTTAAAAATTCACAAAACAAATAGCAAATGCTTAGAATTTGAATTTGAAAGTTTAAAGTGAAAAGAAAAAGAATATTTCTGAATGTTTACTTTTTACCTTTACTTTTTACTTTTACTTTTTACCTTTAATTTTTATCTTTACTTTTTACCGTTACTTTTTATCTTTACTTTTACCTTTACTTCTCACCTTTACTTTTTACCTTCACTTTTTTTACCTTTACCTTTAACAGCATCGTTTCTTTTCATTATTGGCATTCATTTTTTTGTTATCGGTTTTGAAGAAAAATATTATTTAAAATCGGAAATTTAAAACATTCAATTTAATAATTAAATTGGATAAATTAATTTAACGAAATTATAATTATAATTATAATTATAATTATAACAGCTTAGTTATTGTTGCAAATTTCAGACAAAAAAAGAAAAAAATTAAGTGAATATTTCGAATATAATTGTATTTTGTAATTTTTGAAACTTTTCTTCCTTAATTCTAGTTTTTCGAGCAAATAAATGATTAGTAATAATTAATTAAAATTAATTATGTCAACTTTTGTTTCTATCTGAACAATTATATATTTATTGTTTGATAAATTGGGTAGATTTTCAAAATGTCTTTTAACCTATTTTCAGCGATAGGAAATAAAATCATTCATCACTTTCTGTATTATTAGAATCATTGAGAATTTCTTTTCGATCATTTTTTTTATTTAAATTTAGTCTTCGTAAAATTTCTTAAAATGAGTCATTAAAAATTATTATTATTATCACCTTAATTTAATTAACACTTTTGTTTTATCACTTTTATGATTTTATTAAAATTAAATTAAAATTTTTTGTTAAAATTTTTAGTTCATAACGTGGAATATTTGTTTATTTCTTGTATGTTTTTTTATTATCAAATTATCATTTTTTTTTAAATTGTTATTCAAATTTCATTTTTATTAATTACTATTAATGAAATATTTTTAGAAATTTCCGTATTATTCGACCGGCATATTCATCATCAACGAATAATCATACGTTTGAATCAGAGCAAGACGGTTATATTAATCATTCGCAACAAACACAAATGAATTCCAGTAATAGTCGTACCGTTCCGGTGCAATTAATTAGGAAGACATCGGTTGATGATTTTAATGAACGAATGATTGGAATGTTGGATCAAGTGGAAAAACGAGTCGAACAACTTAGGTTTTATTTTATTTATTTATTTATTGCTAATGTATTAATTAAAATACGTGATAGTAAGTTAACAAATTATAATTAGTAATATTAATTATTTGTGTTTTATTCGCAATCTAATAATGAACATATTTTTTTTTTAATTAAATTATTAGTATTATTTTCTTTTGAATATATTTAGTTTATATTTAATTTTATATAAATAGCAATTACATTGAAAAAAAATTAAATGGTAAAATTTAATTAGAAAAAAAAGGAAATTTTTTTGTTTTGAATTAATGAAATTAGTTGTATTTAAGAAAGATAAAATAAATGAGAAAACGGAATATCTTCATTTTTGTTAATGATTAATTAATGATAATAAAAATGATTACAAAATGATAATATAGCAAGTTCTCTTATGATTTCGGATTAATATTAATTATCCCAAAAAGAAGGAATTCCTCCTCTAAAAGTCATAGAGCAAAAGAAAGAAAATCTATTTTAAAAAATTTAATTTTTATGCTACCTTTTTTTGAAATCATCAATTTTATTGTATTATTGCAGAGAATCAGCTGGACAATTAGTTGGAGCTCACTAATCTATTTAATTAACTGCTTAACAACTTAATTACCTAATCTATTAAATTATCCTACATTAATTAATCTACTTTTTTTGAAATCATCAATTTTATTGTATTATTGCAGAGAATCAGCTAAACAATCAGCTGGAGCTCACTAATTTGCTTAATTAACTACTTAACACTTAATTACTTAATCTACTAAATTAATCTACATTAATTAATCTACTTTTTTTGAAACCATCAATTTCATTGTATTATTGCAGAGAATCAGCTGGACAATTGGAACAAGAAAAAGAATTATTAATTAATATGCTTGGAAATGTGAATTTAGATTCTGAATTACTACGTTTAGGACAAGGTAAATTAAATATTTAATTATTTTTATGAAATAATTTTTATTTGCTACTAAATAATAACAGTGAATAATTTAATATCATTGAGTATTTGAATACTTGAAAAAAATAATTTAGTATTATTGAGTACTTGAATACTTGAAAAAATAATTTAATATTAATAGTTTAATATTATTGATTACTTGAGTACTTGGAAAAATAATTTAATATCAATAATTTAATATTATTGATTACTTGAATACTTGAAAAAATAATTTAATATCAATAATTTAATATTATCGAGTACTTGAATATTTGAAAAAATGTTTTGAAATTATTAAATCTTTCTTATTTCTTATAAATTATAAAGAAAAATCATTAATGAATCAATTTGAAATAAATTACTAATTTTTAGTCGCAAATTAATAATTTATAAAATCTTATAAAAATGACGTTTAAATTTTCTAATTTTTTATAAATTACAAATTAGGATGAAATTATTAATTATAAATTAAAATAAAATCAATTTGGAATAAATTGCTAATTTTTTAATTTCAAATTAATATTTTTTCTTTTTAAAAAACTTCTGGAAAAATTTTTAGGTGATCGAGATGATATTAGTGCAACAGCTAGTCGCTTGATAAATCGTTGCAAAGCTGTTGAAGTGGTCGTAAATACGCCACGTAATGCGGAACAGACGCAAGCATTAAATAATGTCAACAATTTGATTGAAGCAGCGATGAATAAAATGAAAGAAGATTTAAATAATGCAAAAGAGGTTTTTCTTATTTCCAATAATGATATTTGCATCCTGAAGTGTTTTAGGAAACGGAACAGCTAGCTGCTTGCAAGCTTTCTAAGCTAATTCCATAAATTTAAATTGTTGTATTTCATAATCTTAACAAAATCATGCAGCTAATTTCCACACGTTTCTTTTGCGTAGCTAATTTATTTTCAACTATCTGAAATTCAAATTTATTATGATATGAGAATTGAAAATTTACAACTGCTAATTCTCAAAATCTTTCGGAAATTAAAAGATTAAGCTCCTAATTAATTATGATTTAAAATAAGATCACTGTAATTAGTTAGATTATGAGTGATAATCTCTCTGCAAAAACAAATTTTTTCAATCCGATCGCTTAACAAAAAGATATTATTTATTAATTTTGCTTTTAATATTGTATTTTATAGTTAGATGACATTTTGCGCTTAATAAGAAGCGCTTTATAATATCTAATATTTTGCTCTTATTTTTAGTCCTTTTATTTAAAACTAAATTTTTTCAGAATTTTTAATTGTTATAAAATTTTGCTTATTACTCTTTTCCTTTCTTCTTTCTATAGGCAATGAAACGTTTTCTCAATGCTTGCTTACCGGATCTACCTGACGGACCAATTGATCAACGATTTCAGGCTCAGGTAAAATTTTCATACCTCTGTATAAATTGTTATTGCCACATAATTTATATTTTAAAATATTAGTGTGAAAAAAAACGGTTCAAAAAAAATCTGCTTTTTTGTCATTTTTAAAATTTTAAATTTTAATTAAAAAGACGGTATTTATAATAATTAGGAAATGTGAATACATATTATTGTTATTATCAAATATATATATAGATAGATTGATAGATAGATGGATAGATGGATAGATAGATAGATGGAAGATAGACAGATAGGTAGATAGGTAGATAGATAGATAGATAGACAGACAGATAGATAGATAGATAAATAGTAATTTCAACCATTGATAAATTTGATAATTAAACATAGAGGAAGAGAATAAAAAGGAGAGAAAGATATTTTAGTATTTGTGAGATGAAATTTTTAATGATGAAAAATGTAAATAAAATTCATAACTCATAAATAACTATATAGATAGTAATTTCAACCATTGATAACTATTTCAACCAAAACCTATTAGATAGTAATTTTAACCAACAAAAATTCTTTACTCATAAATAACTTTATAAGTTATGAATTTTATTTACATTTAGCAAATGGATTATTAATGGTAATAGATGATTTATTAATTATTTGATATAAAATTTCCATTCAAGGTCATCGAGTGTACAGCAGATGACCAGAAGAAAATTCGTCATCGTTTAGGTATTTTAATCAATCAGATCGAACGAGCTCAACGTTATTCTGTTCCCGATTTTTGAAACTTATTACATGTCGCATATCATTTGATCCTTTTCCTTTCTTTCTCTTTGCTTTTTTTTCATAAATTTAAAATTAAAATTAATTACAGAAATAGATGATGAATATGTTGAAAATTATGTTTATTTTTGATTGAAATATTATAAAATTAACTAATTTCGAATAATTTTCAAAAATATTGTTTTAAATTTGAAAAACAAACAAAATTATTGAATTAATTAAAATTTTAAGATATAATTAATTTACTATCGATCATTTAGCAAAAATTATTGCTAATTTAATTGAAAGAAAAAAATGAATAAATTAATTTTTGATATTTTAATAAAATCAAAATATTTGGTTTTGTTTATTTGTATTTAAAAAAAAAAAAAAAATGAAATCATTTAATCAAATACTCGAATTAATTGATACATCCAAAATTTGAAATACTGATCAATTGGAAATGAAAATGATATTAATTATTTGATATTGTTTTTATCAACACATTTTTGTGTTTCATTTTTTTATTCAATAAAAATTATTTTCGTTTACTAAAATTTGTTACAGTAAACTTTTTGATTCGAATTTTTAAAATAATTGAAATGATTGCAAAAAAAAGGAAGAAATTATTGACAAAAATGTTATTTGCATTTTTTATTTGAAATTATTTTTCATCCACAAATATCTCCAACGCCGACTATACCAACGCCGGTATATCAACGCCGGTATATCAACGCCGGTATATCAACGCCGATATATCAACGCCGATATTTTGTGCCATTTTTGATTACTGTCATTTTCATTTTCATTTTCATTTCATTTCATAAAGAAGGAGAAGAAAAGAAGAGAATAAAATTTATTGTGAAATTTAAAATGAAAACATTTCAATGATCGACCATATTTATTCATTATATCATTTATGATATAATAATGATAATTGATAGAAATTCTATTTTTCTTTTTTTTTTCGTTTTTAATTTTAAATTTCAAAAATGAAATAAAAAAGGCGGTAAGATAAAAAAAAAGATTTTAAAAATTTATTTTTGTTTATTTATTGATTTCTTTTTCAGTTTATTGATCAAATGAATTAGGATATTATTTCGGTGTAAAATGCATTAAATAAACAAATTTTTTGTTTATTTTATTTTTTTTTTTGTTTTTAAAAAATTTCTTTTTTCATTAAATTTTTTTTTTAATGAAATTTATAAATTTCAGCGATTAGTATATAAATATATTTTAGTTTTCATTTATGAAATGTGGCATTTAGTTGAGAAAGAATTAATTTTAAAGTAAATAGAAATGGCTAAAGTAAACAGGTAAACAAGTCGATAAGTAAATAAGTACAAAACAGTAAAGTAAGTACAAAAGCATTTAGAAGGAGAAATGAAAATGCAAAAATTAATTTGAACGTTAAATTCTGTAATTTATTGATTACCGCAAGCTAACCATTTTTCCTTTAATATAAAAGCTTAGTGATAGTCAAAAAGAAAATGCGCGAAAATTATTGCCAGTTTTGTTTGTTGCTTGTTTTTTGATTAATGATTTGATAAAATGTGACACATTATTTTTTATATCGGTGATCATTATATTATTAGATTAAAGTTTACATAAAATTTAATTATTACACTTATTATTATGTTTGAAATTTTAAGTTATAACAATAAAAGAATTTATTACGTGTATTTTTACGTGTCATTTGATGTAGCGTATCTTCTAATTTACGTTATTTACGTAAAATATATTTGGCACATATTAATTATTAATTTATTTAAATGCATTTAAATATGCTATTAATTTGATGTTAAATTTCATAGTAGGAAATATAGTCGGTACAAGTTATGTAAACATGAAATATCAGAAACACAAAAGGTTTATTGTTAAACATGCGCTTATCTATATTATTCATATGTTACGCAAAATTGACGTAAATTATTGCTATTAACAGAAAATTGACGGAAACTAACTATATTACTCACGCGAGATTCACGTACATTACTATTATTACTCACGCGATATTCACGCATATGACTGTTACATCGTCAAATATAAGTGGTATATGGAACAAAAAAATAGAATAATGACCCCGAGAATTTTCATTAACCATCTACTTGCTAGATTATTAATGAATATGATTTTGATCAAGGTCGAATATGATTTGATCAAACTTTTGGGTGTGTTAGACTTTCCTACGGTTTTTCTACATTCAGTACGAATAGCATATGAAAGACATAAAAGATTGTTATTGTTCTTATTATTAAAAGAAAGTTAAATCTTTGTCTTTACAGCTAAAAGAAGCAAACATAAATGCACCCAGAAATCTTCATATAAACAAATAAATTTTTAACTTCGATTTAATCCATAGTGGGATCGCAAATTTCATAATTGTTTTTGGTTTGCCGTCCGTTGTAAATGATGAGAGGCTGTGTACTCATCGGGATTAGGTCATTACCGATAATGCCATATCATTAGGGTCAACTTGATGCGTCTCGTTGTTGTTTGGTTAACTGGTCATCTTATATATCATATCGCTAACATTTTTGAGAGAAGAAAGTGGATTATGCAAGTAAATTCTATGTATGGGATTTGATGAGTTGTTTGGAATGAAATTGGCAGGTTATTGACATAATCATATTTGAAATATGTTTTTTTTTGAGTGCCTAATTTTCACATTTTCGAGACAGTTTTTTTCGTAGGTTTTAGCTAATGTGAAAAATTTGAAATGGTTTGCCAGTTTTAATTGCAATTTTTGGTAAACGGAAATGAGCGGATATGTTAAAAAAGTTAAGCCAATTTTATTGGTGTGAAGTTATTGTTCAAAATGTACAATTTCTAATTCCAAAACGGACGATACATCGTTGATTGGCCTAAATGTTGAAATGAATGAAATGATTCGTTTGAACTTTGATATGAGGATGGACGAAGCAAATATTATTTAGGGAATCATAAATAAATAAATAATAGTAGTTTCTTTTGTTTTAACTTTTATTATTATTTTTTTTTAACTTTTTCGCAATAATTTCTTAAAGAAAGATTGCAAATTACACGTAATCCGCTACAATTGCTGCCTTATTTCAGAACTTCGAATTTTTTTTACTTTCAATTTTCTCTTAATTTTTTTCATAAGTTTTTCTTTATGTATTTTTTTTTACACTTCTCTTTTTTCTTAACATAATTTCCGTTGCGCAGTGCATTTCAAAGGCCATCTTTTCATAGTGCCATTTCATTTCCCTTCCGCTTCTTTACTCTTTTTCGCTAATTTTGAATCATTTGTCTATGAAATGAAGGAAAGAGGGAAAGGAAAGAAAAGTAAACTGTTTGAAGTTATTCCAATGTAATAATTGTTGATGTAAAAATTGCTGATCTTTTGATTAAATTTAGTTGAAATAAGGCTCGTTAATGTTCCTTTGTACGTGTATTTTGCTTTTTGATGCAAACTACGACTACTTCAAGATAGAAAATTAGATTAGGTTGAAAATAACACATTCAGAAGTATTAAAAGGCAACAACGAATGGTACAGCAGCATTGTGATAGCAAGTAGGAAACATAAAAAGCAGAAGTGAAGAAGAGTCTCTGCATCAAATGGATATAAAGCGAATAATTGTATGAAGAGCAGTAGAATGTTTCTATGAAATGCGGGATCGTTATGGTGCTTCATGAACTACAACGCTTATATATCAGTCATTTTATCGTTAGTTTCACTTTTTTATTACTTCTTTGTTTTGATTACTTTGTTTATAAAATTATCTGTAAATTAAATTAGAATGAACATATAAGGCAATACGAATAAAGGCAGAGAATAAGAATATTGATAAGTTGAATAAATAAAGCTAATGGTTGTTATTGTTTTTGTTGTTTTTGGTATTATTGAATCATATAAGTGGCGATCATGAAAAAAACGATTTAAAATATATTTGTTTAGAAATATCGATAGAAATGAAATTTTTAGTAGGAGAATTAATTACAAAGAAATCATAGAGAGATTTTCAGATATAATTTGTTGTCATGTATTTTGTGATAGTGTATTTTTCCGACATTTTAAATGTCGTTTTTTAATAATGTTTGCTTAGTTGTTTGGCATTTCTATATTTGTTCATTTGTTTTCATGTTCATGCGACTGGTACTGATTTGGAATATATTTGCTTGAAGCATAGATAGAAATGAAATTTTTTGTAAGAGAGTTAATTTCAAAGAAATCATAGAGAGACTTTGAGATATATTTTTCTTTCATGTATTTTATGACAGTGCACTTTTTTCCATCATTTAAAACTTTTTTTTTTGTTAAGCTCTTAGTTTATGTTTTATTTTTTGGCTATATGAGCTTCAAATTTGTGCGTATTGATTATTTCTCATTCGAGGACCAAATTAGTTTATTAGGTTCCTCACTGGTCGTTAACCATAAAGACTTAATCCTATTTTTTTTTAAGCGAATTAATTTAACAGTAGTATTTAAATTAAATAACATTAATTGTAGGACTCAAAAGATTGCGAAAATTTGATGTATGTATACAATGGATACGAGCAGTCAGTTAGCCGCCAGGAGCGCGCTTGACTCATCATCCGTTCAACAGTTGAATACGAGTAAAGAGGACCTGAAAACTCATTTCGTCACTCGTGAAGGTGTTTATAGGCAAATGACTCTTTCCGAATATTCACGGCCAAATCGTGTCGCATTAAATCAGGTGTTTATTAATTTAAATTTCGAGAGTTGCAAATGATGTAGAAATTTATCATTTGAAATTCATTGTCAAAGCTATGTTCATTTTATATGAAAATTGAAATGGAGCATTATAAAAATGGAGTTCTTAGAAAAACAAATCTCTAGGATAAAACTGGTTACTTCTTTCCTAAGAAGTAACCAGTTTTATCCTTGAGATTTGTTACTTCCCGTTAATTTTAATGCATCTCTAAATATTCACTAAATGATGGTTCAATAATGGGTTGATGAATTCGAGAAAGGCAGTTACTGTAGGAGCATCGAGACGAATTTTGCTTCGATTAGAATTTTTAAAGAAGCTGAATTAATTTTTTGACATTTATTATTTGTATACCTCTTACATTGATTAGAAACAATGATTTTTGTTTGGTGAAGAACTAAAGGTGAGGAATTATTTTCTATGTTTCATTTTAGATTACATTGCTCTCCAATTACTGGTTATTTGAAGATTTTGTGACTTCGAATGTACAGTTCTGGATAGGACATTATAATCGTTACTTTTGGAAAGTCAAATTTCAATTATTTCTGTTATCAGGGTGGTAATAATACGGGTAACGCACCTGTTCGTGTATCCTTTCTGACTATCCATCCGACGGCGTCCACATCACAACAGCATCAAGCTATTAGTAATATGATGTTGAACGGTAGCATACCAACACTGCCCAATTTGGCGTTAGATACGGATGTGGAGCATAATCTCGATGAAAATGATTCCCCTGCTTATTCGGACTCTGATATGAACATCAGTAACGATCGAATATGCTTCAATGTCGGCCGTGAATTATATGTTTTCGTTTATCGGTACGTTTTATTGGTTTAATTTCGATGATTTCGCCTCCATTAAGCTTATCTACAGTTCTTATCTAGGATATCTCTTATACCTTATCTTATGCAACAGTATTTTGGTGGCTTGGTTAAGAAAGTTGTGTTGCTGTCGCCTTTTCACTGATTTGTTCCATTTATTAAATATTTAAAATTTTATTGAGTGTGGGGTAATC